TTTTTTCGGGTGACTAGTACAACTGACAACTCGCCTCAGCCCCGGTCAGAGTTCCCACAGGTATCCCCCGGTTCCCCTCCTCTTCATCCCCCTCCCTTCCTCCCTCTTCTCTCCCTGCTTTCTTTGGTTGTTGCTTCCTACCCTTCGTTGGGTTTCGAAAGTGCTTCAAAGCCCTGATACACACCACAGTAAACCCTAAACCCTAAACCCGAAACTCTAAACCCCGAACCCTAAATAGAACCCTTAAAGTAGCCCTTGAGAACCCCATCATATTACCCTGAAGCCCTGATCAGCAGTCGGCTTAATCGGTCTCACGTCTCAGGACTTACAGACGTGCTCGACCACTTGGGCTCCCGTGACTTTCAGACATGGTTGAAAATACCCGTCGGCCTGCTTCAGAGGCCCAATCCGAGAGGGTTTAGGGTTTAGGGTATGGGGTTTAGGGTTTAGGGCTTAGGTTTGAGGGTTTAGGGTTTAGGGTTTTACCCTCCGGAATAACAGTAATAATGGTAATAGCTACTCCTAGCTGACCCTCTTCCATGCGGGGTCCCGTCCCTCTGCCAAGAGCTGCATTCCCGCGATAGAGCTAGACCCTCGACCCTAAACCCTAAAATCCTAAACCCTCGACCCTAAACCCTAAACCCCTAAAGCCCTAAACCCCTAAGCCCTAAACCCTAAACCCCTAAACTTACCCCGAAACCCTAAACCCTAAACCCTAAACCCCTAAACCCTAAACCCTAAACCCTAAACCCCAAACCCTAAACCCTAAACCCTAAACCCCTAAACCCTCAAGGCCCCCGGGCCCCTAAACCTTCGTCACTTCGTGTCCTCCGAAGCCGGAGCGGGCGGCGCGAAACTCCTTTAGAACTCTGCGGGTTTAGGTTTTGGGGTTTAGGGTTTAGGGTTTAGGGTTTAGGGTTTAGGGTTTAGGGTTTAGGGTTTAGGGTTTAGGGTTTAGGGTTTGGGGTTTGGGGTTTAGGGTTTAGGCTTCCAGATCCGTCGGAAACCCGATGAACGATTGTCAAAGTGGGATTTCTCAAGGGCAACCCTAAACCCTAAACCCAACACCCCAAACCCTAAACCCTGCACCCCAAACCCTAAATTCCTAAACCCCAAACCCTAACTTAAACCTCAAGCTTGAAACCCCAAACCCCAAACTCGAAAACCCTGAACCCCAAACCCCAAACCCCAAGCCCTAAGAACCCGAAAACCCCAAAAAAAAATCCGAAAGCCCCAAGCCCGAAACCCCAAATGCCAAAAAAAAACCTAAACCCCAACCCCCCAAAAAACCCTAAAACCTAAAACCACCCCACCCCCCCCAAAAAATAATAATAATAAAATAAAACCCCCCAAAAAAAACCCTGAAGCCCCAAAAAAACCTGACCAGGGCCTCGAGGACATGGCGACGGATCCTTTAAGAGCTAACTACGACCCCGACGTCAGCCGCCCGCGACCGGCCCTGAGCCAAAAAGAGAGCCGCAAGCCTTTTGGGTGGAGGGATTTGGGTGTTAGGGTTTAGGGTTCAGGGTTCAGGGTTGAGGGTTTGGGGTTTCAGGTTTAGGACTCTAGGTTTTAAGGCTTGAGGTTTAGGATAGGGCTCCTTCAGAAAAGACCATTTGAAGCCTCTCAACTAAACCTTAAAGGTTGGGACTTGGAGGCGTTTGGGGGGGGGGTTTAGAGCTTCGGGCTTAGGGGTTTTTGGGTTCGGGGTTTAAGGGATTTGGGGTTAGGGTTGGGGATTTAAGGCTTCGGGTCTCGGGGTTTGGGTTTAGGGTTTAGGGCTTCTATTAAAGTGCAGTGGCCTTTTCGGGTTGTCTTCATCAATCAGCTGTTAATCAGTAGAATGGGGTTCTGGGGTATAGTGTACTATAACTATACTAAGAAACCCCAGAAAAGTATTGGTAAACATTTGGCCCCTATATTACCCCGGGTTCTCGAGTTGCGTCGGGTTTTCGAGTCCAGCTAATCCTGAAAACCGGAAAGCCTGGACTGTCCTCCAGACTTGACTTTCCCAAAATCACGTCGAAACTCCTACACTTGCCATGGGGTTTAGGCTTTAGAGTGTAGAGTTTAGGGTTTACGCCGCTCAATCTCCTCCACCCTCAGCCGGCAGCAACCCGAGAAGCCCTGAAACTCCTCACGAATTTGTTGGAAGCCTTTGCCTGTAACTCTAGGGTTTAGGAGGTTTAGGTTTTGGCACCCTACAGCCCTACTCTTCCCGATGAGGCCATCAAGCCACACGCCTTTTTCTTTGTTTAGAAAGTGGCTAGGCTCAAAGGTCATCTCTGGTGCGGCCAGGACCTGGTGGCCGTGCGAACGAGTAGTGAAGGGGCTTCCTGAAGTAGGGATGAGGTTGAAGGCTCCGAAAGAAGGAAGGCTTTTTGGGGGTAATGTAGGGGCCTCAATAGTTACCAACATTATTTTGGGGGGTTCCTTATTATAACTATGGTATAAAATACCCCCAAACCGTATTCTCATTGTTGAGGCCCCTACATTAGATCTAGAGACCTGCTCGGTTCGATTCGTAAGGATTCCGGGTGTCGGAAGCTTAAGGTTTGGGATTCTGAAGATGCCCAGCACTGTAAAGCAAGAAACGAGTAAAGCTAGCCTTGGTTTCGGTTTGTACTGTCTGCAATTTGTTGACAAGCCCTATTTGCAAAAAGGCATGAAGAATTCTTAGGCGAAGGCTTTGGGCGAGCTTCTAGGAGTTCCCTTAAGCGTTACTTGAAGGTCTGAATAGGGATAGGTGCCTGACTTGTCACACAAGGGTCTCAGGAAGGTTGTATGCTTTTTGGTACCTCTGTATTTCAAGACCCAATCCCCTGAACCAGTAGGTTTGTTGATCCCCAGGTAAGCCTTAAGCACGCGGTTCTTGCACCATCTTCGCATGGAAAGCGTGCCTTCGCCTTCTCCCCAAAAAAAGGACTGCGGCTCCCTGGGCTGTCGGATGCTTGCAGGTTCGTGGGTAGTCATACGGTTATACCAGATTTGCTGCAGGGATTCCATAGGCTTAATAAGAGGCTGAGTTTCCATGAGTAGTTACAAAGCTAAGTAGGAGTTGAAGTATCGTAAATGGGGCTGCAAGTATCTTTGAGCATAACAGCGATACTACTACCTTTAGTCTCACGATCCCTTCCTGACACTATGGGTGCTGATGTTCTGCAGCGCAACCACTATTACGACGATGATGATGTGGTGATGATGATGGTGATGATAATGATGATGATGATGATGATGCGCATGATCATGATATCTTAGACTAGGGGCCCCTATCTGGCGGGGATGATAACAAATTCCTCTTCTTTAGGGCTTCTGCCAGAAGACCCTTATTTGGGACACTTCCTGCTGAGGACGACGGTGAAGGGGAGGATCAGCACGATTGGTGATTCACTTACATATAATCCGCGCAAAGACAACACTGTTGCGTCCGTCATCCAATATCCTATCACTGCTTTCAAGAACATCCATGAGGCACCGAGACGGCCCGTATTTGCTGCTGAAAAAATTCTGCACACGCTAAACTCAATCAAACTGATTCATCTGCAGGTCATCGTCCTCGTGGTAGTCGTCGTAGTTGTTGCAGTCGCCGCAGTCGTCGTCGTCGTCGTAGT